GATGGAAAAGAACAACAAAAGTCATGAATTATGGAAAAGAACAACAAAGGTCAGGAATGATGGAAAAGAACAACAATGTCATTGATGGAAAATACAACAAATGTCAAATTATGGAAAATACAACAAGAAAGGTCATGAATGATGGACAGAACAACAACAACAAAGTTCATGAATGATGGACAAGACAAAAAAGGTCATGACTGATGAAAAGACAATGGAAAAGAACAATAGCAAAGGTCATGCATGATGGAAAAGACAACAAATGTCATAAGGTCTCTCTTGTAAACGAGTTTCCGAGGCTCAATGGGACTAACCTGTGTAAATAAAGGTTGAATAAATGATGGAAGATAACAACAAATGTCATAAATGATGGTCAAGAACAATAAAAGTCACGCATGATGGAAAAGAACAAATACAAATAATGGAAAAACAACAAAGATCATGAAAGATGTAAAAGAACAACAACACAGGTCATGAATGATGGAAAAGAACAACAAATATAAATTACGGAAAAGACAACAAATGTAATAAATGATGGAAATGACAAAAAAGATCATGAATGATGGAAAAGACAACAAAACGTCATAAGTTATGGATAAGACAACAACAAAAGGTCATGAATGATGGAAAAGACAACAAATGTCATAAATGATGGAAAAGAACAACAACAAAGATCATGAATCATGGAAAAGAACAACAAATGTCATAAATGATGGCAAAGACAACAAAGGTAAAAAAAGATGAAAAAGAACAACAAAGGTCATGAATGATGAAAAAGAACAATAACAAAGGTCATGAATAATGGAAGACAACAATATGATGCTTTTGAGTCTACTTAATGAAGACAAAACATTTTTCAGTGATACTCATCTTTATTTTCCTGTTGAAATATGTTCTAACATGTTTATGAACATCTTACACTGACGAGTAAAAAGCAACAACTGTAAAAAAAAAAAAAAAAAGACTGTTTTAGAATTCAGAGAAACACAATCTCACCTGTATGTAAACTTTCAGCTGTATTGATCCAGAGAACACGTGAGAATCTATGAAACTCACAACAACAGTAGTTTACAGTCAGATCAATGGGCTTGTTACACTTTAGTTTAATTCTGACATTATCACAAAAAAAACTGTACATTTTACTAAACTTCACGAATTTCCACTGATGTTAAATCTTTAATGGGATATCTTTAAAGTGGGTCTCCATGTAAATGTCATAAAAAAAACAACATCTTAGCTCTTTAAATGCCATTCGTGCAGAAGAACAGTTTGAGAGTTCGACAGGACTGATGAGGATTACTGCGGTCTTAAAACTACAATCTTGAAAAAAAAAACCCAACATAGCAGTTCTTGCCCACGCTATTATTTACACCTTGGTCATTTTCCCATCATCAGTCTATAGTTCCTCAAAGACAGCACCAGCAGCAGTGAAACGTTGTATCCAAAGGTCATAACAAGCAGGATGACTTAATTCTGCAAAAATAATTGTGTTTTACAAATCGGACGGTGGCGTCAAGGTTTAAAAATTAACATTCACACAAACTGCTGTTTTAATGCAGCAACAACTTGTTATGGAATTGGACTGCCATCCAAATGGACCAGCAGCCTTCATGAAACTGGACACTGCAAGTTGAAACCAGAAAGGGAACAGAGTCCTGACATCCAGGTACAGGTTTTAAGTCTTGCCCCCACATGAACCAACCAGACGTTGCCCTTTTTATTAAAGAAAACAAAACCCTACAGACATCATTTCAGGTGTTGTTTCTGTTGATTAATGACGTTCTTACTTTGCATATGTTAGACTGTAATTGGTTATTTCACCTTTAAAGAAAGCTCATGGAACACATTTGTGTGTCAGGAAGTAGGCTGTGCAGGTCTACTGCACAGACTCTGGTTACAAAAATACAAATAAACCAGTGTCTTGTGGCTTCAATTCCAGACATGAAAAGGCTGGGACACAGGGTCTATCAGTATACATGTCTATGATTGTTGTTGATGGAACGGACCCACTTTCAAATATATTATTTATTTATAACTTTTGAATGGAAACCATCTTTAAAATAATTGAAAGATCACTTGTGAGGGGGCTACGGTATCTTGGTGGTCAGTGCCGCTGTTTTATAATCCTGAGATTGCAGTTTTGAGCCTGGTTGCGTCAGGAAAGGTATCCGGCGTAAAACAATCGTCAGCTCTTTCATGCAAGTTTGCTCACTGTGGCAACCCCTGAAGAAAGGAGCAGCTGAAAGAAACTCACTATACTTTAGGGGTTGCGTATGTATACCTTTGGTGTATACCTTTCCACCTTATATGCTGATGATCTTGAAAATTATTACTGAAAGTCACTTTCAGTCACAGGCAGGTGGTCTGAGTTCAGAGTACTCAACAGAAAAACTCAGTTAAATGACATCATGTGTTTTTCATGACATCCTGTAGGTGTTGATCTCAAATACACATACGAGCAACAATATAGGTTTCAGTTGATCAGTTACTAATGAAATGGTTAGCTTACCTCATAAATTTAACAACACTCCAGTTTTTAACTTCACTTATTCTTTGTCAAACCAACTCTTAAACCCTTCTCTTGTCCAACCCTCCATTTGACATCGTAGAATTTGTACATTTCATAGTGTTTTTCTTTTTATATTTAAACAAATGTAGCAATAACTTGGAATATCTAGCCATGACATGCTAAATAAAAAAAACATAAATAAAGTATTTTTGGATTACCCAGTGGAGTTACAAAATAAAGGACTCAACTTAGTCCCATCTAGGCATCGATGGAGTGGTTCGAAACGAGGCTTAGCTATTTGGTTAAAGAAAGAAATATAAATAGATAGTCGTCTTATTTTGGACGTTTGGACAGTGGTTTTGGTCTTTATATTGGTTTTGGTGGGAAAGCCACAGGATGATCTTTGGGTGGTTTACAAAAAAGACGCAGTTTCCACATTTTAAGAAGCATGTTCCTCATCTCTCTGCTCGGTGGACTCTCCTCTTTGCGACACAAGGAATGCCTCCCACACAGCCAGGCACTGGAAGACAGACAGACGGACATTTTCAGTATCATTCGTGATGTGATGAGACAAAGTAGTCAGATCTTAAAACGGAGAAACACTAGAGTGGCCAACTACAGCGCAGTCTATGATAACGAGGTAAGAATTCATACTGCATTTGATAGGTGATACATGGCATCCATCCTTACTGCCAGTGTGACAATGACAATAAAGCTTATTCTGATTCTTCTGATAAGTTAGTATTTTTATGCCACATTTGCTCCCACATCATTGTGACCATTGCCAGTTTGTCTGTCTTGTTCTCTGAATAAGTCTGAACCTAACAAAACATGATCAATAAATAATAAAATACCTGTGCTATATTCATAAGTTATCCAGCATCGTAACGCTGAGAGAACAAGCAGTACGTTGACGTCCCTGTCTCTGAGAGATTTGAATAATGAACGTTTGTAGTTTTGGAGATGAGTGTTTTCCAGGACTGGAATTCAACAGAGAATGAAAGTAAACCTAAATGTTTTTGGTGCAAGACACTGAAGTAGGTAGAAGTTACACTGTGGAGAAGAACAGAGGTAAGTTTATGGGAGGGGGTGTCAACAGTGGTGAAAATAATCAATATTATTTTAATAACCATTTTTTTAAATAATTTGCAGATTAACATCCACTGATGACTTTCTGCAAGTCTCATTAAAATGTGTTCAATGATTCCTGAGATATTTTGCTAATAGTAAGATAAACAAAGCACAGATAAAATCAATGATGCACCCTTCATTTATTAGTGTCGAGTGATGAAAAGGAACGTTGAAAATGTTGTGGAAAAGTAACAGGATACCATCCCAAGCTGTTCTACATGAAAGATAATATTTTGCACTACAGTATCATTTAATCATTAGTATTAAAACATGGCTGCCACCTACTCCTACCATAAAGAGCAAAAGACAGCAGCGGATGAGTGAAGCTCTGTGGAGACAGAAACGTGTCGAACACACACAATCACACATGTTGGTGTGTTATTTAAAGATACTGCTGTGATGGTGTGCGTGGACCAGTGGAGTCATATAGTGTGTGAATGATTTATTGCTGTGGACCACAGAGATGACCCATGAGGATCTAATAAGACACACCTGGAAGGCTCTTATACCAACCAGGTGATGGGGAGTTCAGAGAAATGATGAGTTGGTGGAAAACGGGCCTTGCACCATGTGAGAAAAAAAAAAGATTAAAGTGTTGTTCAAACAAAATCAGAAAACTATTAAAATGGGTTTATGTTACCCTGTAGCAACTTTTGTAAAACAAGTGCTGTTTTTGCACTTCCATACACTGCTACAGTCTGCCAAAGAAGGCAAAAGGTGATCATGTTTTCTTTTCCCAGACCCAGGAAGTGGTTACAAGAAGTTGATAGACTGCCTGAAACTTTGGAGCAGGACAAGGCTATTAACTGTATTCTGTACCACAGACTATAGCCAGGGGAGGCCACACCTAGTCTGTATGGTTTACCTAAAATTCACAAACAAGGTGTACATTTAAGATCAATTGTTAGCATGATTAACGCTGTCACTTACAATGTTTCCAAATATCTGGTGTCTGTAAGGGACACCACCGCGTTATTGGTTCAGGTATGTTGATGACACCTGGGTTAAATTAAATCTCAGGAAGTCCAATATTTTACTGATTATATCAACTCTGTGGATAAAATATATAAAGTTCACATGAGAAGATGTAAAAAATGGCAGGTTGGCTTTCTTGGACTGTGAGGTCTCAGTCTCTGATAGAGGACATTTGCAAACTGAGGTGTACCGCAAACCCACCCACACAGACCAGTATTTGCAGTTTGACTCCCATCACCCTTTGGAGCACAAGTTAGGAGTCATCAGGGCTCTGTATCACAGAGCAGACAGCGTCCCCACTAGCTCAGGAGCCAGGCAGAAGGAAAAATCCCACACAAGACAGGCTCTAGAGCAATGTGGATATCCTAACTGGGCCTTCCTGAAAGCAGAGAAGAAACCCAAACAGGACTCCAGTCAGCCATCAAGTGAAAAGGAGGAACCCAGACCCAGACCAGTGGTCATTCCACATGTTGAGGGAGTATCAGAGAAACTGAGACGTTTATTTTCTAAACATAACGTCCCAGTGGATTTTAAACCCCAAAATACATTAAAGACTGGTTCATCCCAAAGATCCAGTCCCCCGGCACAAACAGAGTAATGTTGTGTATGCTGTTCAGTGTCAGGAGGGCTGTGATCAGTCTTACATCGGGGAAACTAAACAGCCACTGGCCAAAAGGATGGACCAGCACAGAAGAGCAACACCATCAGGCCAGGGCTCTGCGGTCTACACTCATCTCCAGGCCAGAGGTCACTCTTTCAAGGATGAAGATGTTCACATCCTGGACAGAGAGGAACGATGGTTTGAGAGAGGAGTAAAGGAGGCCATCTTTGTGAAAAGAAATCGTCCATCATTAAACAGGGGTGGAGGCCTCCGGGTTCAACTGTCCCCCTCTTACAATGCTGTGATTGCTAGTATCACTCAGCCCTCTGTGAGTAGTAAACAGCCCTCAGGGTGTGTGTGTTTCCTTGACTGATGAAGTCTTCCAGACCCAAGGCGAAATGTTTCAGCACAAAAAAAAAGAAACTGTCCAGATGACCTGACTGAAAAATGTTGGATTGTATACCTGGATTATTGAGCATGGACGTTGTTGTTTTCAACCAGTTTGACAAGACTGTCAACAAGGAAGAGGGCCGGCAATGGAGGAGGGGGCGTACCAAAGAGACCATCTTATCACAAGCAGAACTGGTTTGTTCCACTTTGGAATGAGTTGTTAGGGGAAGAATCAGTTTTGTTGTGTGTTTCCTTGACTGATGAAGCCTTCCGGACCGAAGGCGAAACGTTTCAGCACAAAAAAAAAAAAGAAACCGTCTAGATGACCTGACTGAAAAATGTTGGAGCCATCAGGGTGTTAACGATCCATCGTTAGGCTGATGGTCCTTCTTGATCATGTGAGCAGCTGGTTTTGGCTGTCAGCAGCAAACTGGTTGATCCACAGTAGCTATGTTTACATGGACATAAGTAATCGGATCAAACGGCCGTTCAGAATAAAAACTCGTCATGTAAACGCCCTGTTCGGGTTATCTTTTATGGGGCTGAGATGGTGTAGAGGCAGGGCAGCCGGCTTGGGACCCGAGAGTCCCAGGTTCGATCCCCAGTCACTGCACATCACGTGGCGTCTCTGGGCAGCACGTCTAATCCCCAAAATGTCCCCCGGGCGCTTTCAATAGCTGCCCACTGCACCACCTGGTGGTGGATGGGTTAAATGCAGAGACTAATTTCGCCATTGTATGGAAACATACAGTGCTGACATTGTGATGACATTATTATTATTATTATTATTATTATCTTTTGTTTATTCAGAATGATCCGAAATAATTTGTGATCAGAACGAAATGGGTGGTTTACGCCGATTCATAACCCGAACGGTGCACATGTAAACGCTCAATCTGTTCATTTTTTTCTGATCGTGAAAAACTGACCTGACTGCGCATGTGCAACCTATGTCATTTCCGCCTAGCTCTAATAATATTAGCATGTCAGGGAAGCAAAACTGGTCCGTGAGCGACACAACATTTATACTAGAAACTTTGAAAGAGTTCAAAATGATCTGTATTACCTGCAGCTCAGTCAGGGAGTGCAGTAACGTCTCCATCGTCATTAAAACCTGTCGCAGGTCCATTTTGGGTTCTCATGTTTGTTTACGTTCATCCCGGAAGTAAACCGGAAGTAGAACTTCTTGTTCGGTGCCAGACCAGTGGTCATTCCGTATGTTGAGGGGGTATCAGAGAAACTGAGACGTTTATTTTCTAAACATAACGTCCCAGTGGCTTTTAAACCCCAAAATACATTACGGCAAAGACTGGTTCATCCCAAAGATCCAGTCCCCCGGCACAAACAGAGTAATGTTGTGTATGCTGTTCAGTGTCAGGAGGGCTGTGATCAGTCTTACATCGGGGAAACTAAACAGCCACTGGCCAAAAGGATGGCCCAGCACAGAAGATCAACATCATCAGGCCAGGACTCTGCGGTCTACACTCATCTCCAGGCCAGCGGTCACTCTTTCAAGGATGAAGATGTGCACATCCTGGACAGAGAGGAACGATGGTTTGAGAGAGGAGTAAAGGAGGCCATCTTTGTGAAAAGAAATCGTCCATCATTAAACAGGGGTGGAGGCCTCCGGGTTCAACTGTCCCCCTCTTACAAAGCTGTGATTGCTAGTATCACTCAGCCCTCTGTGAGTAGTAAACAGCCATCAGTGTGCTAATGACCCATTGTTAGGCTGATGGTCCTTCTTGAGCATGTGATCAGCTGGTTTTGGTTGTCAGCAGCAAACTGGTTGATCCACTCTGAGAAGGTGCTATTTAAGAGACTGGGCTGAAAACAGCACCTCAGACTGAGGAAGTCTCTTGGATGAGAGACGAAACGTTTCTAGATTTCTTTTGCTTTGTTTTGCTTTTGTTTTTTTGAATGTCCAGAGGACCAGATTGAACTTTTTTGGATTTTTCTACCTGGATTATTGAGCATGCATCAGGAGATTTCTTGTTCGGTGTTTTTTTAAGGAGAGTTTACCACTCTGCACATGTCAGTACTTCTGTTCAGAACAAAGCCCGCTGCATGTAAACGCTCGTCATGAACAGATTGTGCCCATGTAAACGATACATTTGAATCATTTAATCTGAAAACATTTTTATATTTCTTTTTTCTTTCTACATATTTTTCTTGCTAAGCACTTCTGGATCGATGCAAACTGCATTTCGTTGCTTTGTACCTGTGACATGTGCAATGACAATAAAGTTGAATTCTATTCTATTCTTTTCTATTCTATTCTATTTCAATCCAGTCAAAAAAATGTGCGCATGTAAACATAGCTTATGAGAAGAGGCTATTTGAGAATGAGTTTGTTGCAACTCCTCAGACTGAAGAAGTCTTTTGGATAAAAGTTTAAATGTTTCAACAACAAAAAAACAAAAAAGACGCACAGAGGACCTGACTTAACCTTGTTAGGTTAACAAATTAAAATATTTCAGAGCAGTTTTAATTTTTACAGTCTTTTCTTTGGGCTAAATCTTGAGCTTACATTTTCATAGTACTCCTTATTCTTCTCAGCAGTGGAGACGAACGCTGATCTGAGGTCAGTTCTCATAAGGTTCTTCCAGCGGGACCAGTCTCCCTGCAGGGCGTTATTGGCCTGCTCCACTCGGTCGGCCAGATTATCCACTTCCTCCTGCAGCTGCCAAAAACATAAACAGTGAAGCAGCAACGTTGTTAGTCAAATAAATGACAATGACCGTACCAACTGTCTGACAGTATACATTGATTAGATGTGGAAAGAAGGTTTCAGTTTTTATTGCAGATATGAGTCACAAGCCCTGTTTCAAGGATGACAGGTTGAGAACCACTGATGTGGCACATGTGCTCAATAGTGAAGAACACCGGGTTGTCACGATCAGGTGACCGCTCGATTTAAAACCCCACTGGTGGGCAGAAAGACAACATTTATACTTCCTTCTTCACCAACTTAAACAACAAAAGCCCAATCCTGCGTTGTGCTTGGATGGGCAAATAGGTGGGACAAGAATTTGAACAGTGAATGTTTGTAGTGTTGGAGATGAGCGTTTTTCTGGACTGGAAATGAACAGGGAATGCAAGTAAACCTTAATGTTTTTGATGTAAGGTATATGAATAAAAGTTGTACTGTGGAGAAGAACAGAGGTGCAATGGTGGAGCCAAGGGGTCCGTATGGCCACCATAAATCTTTGGCCACCCCAATCATTTGAGGAAACAATGATGTTCAAACCAGGTGGTGGAATGGAGAAGAAAGGGGATTTTAGAGACATTCAATGTGGTGTGGTTATTGGTGTCAGATGGGTTGATTTGGGTATTACAGAAACTGCTGATCTACAGGGAATTTAACACACAATGTTATCAGGGGTTTAAAAAGAATGGTCCAAAATAGACAGAGCAGCATTTGATAGACAAAAAAAAAAATCTTGTTAATGTCAGAGGAGAATGGACAGACTGGTTTGAGATAACAGAAGGACAACAGTTACTCAAAAAAATACATATTACAACTAACATTCGCAAAATACCATCTCAGTAGACACAACACGTAGGCTAAAGACTAAAAGCAATGTTTTACAGTAGAAGAAGACCATATCCAGTGCTACTTCCATCATCTAAAAACAGGAAACTGAGGCATCAGATAACATAAGCTAACCAAATCTGGACAATGACAATTTAGAATAAGAAGAGGTACACCAATGTCCCCCTTTGCTAAGTGATTTGAATAATGAATGTTTTTAGTTTTCAAGAGGAGTCGTCGTTGTCGTCGTAATCGATCATACAGAAGTTTGCCAGCTAAATATGTGGATGAAACTCAGGATGTAGAAGCGTTCACCCAAAATATCAACTCTGGGAACAACATCAAGTTCACCAGAGAGGACGCTAAAGACAGCAGGTGGCCATATTTGAACCGTTTGGTGGGAAGAGATGGACACCTCGACATTGAGGTTTACACAAAATCAACTGGCACACAGTGAAGCAGCTAAAGCCAGTTTTGCACAAAAACTGCGAAATGTGATAAAGCACGAAATATGGAATGTTTGCTCCCAAGAGTCTTCTGAACAATTCTACCATGGTCATCTAAAAATCCAAGATGATTAATTTGTTATTAGAATTATATTATTAATTGTTTACTAATGTGTTACTTGCATAGCACAAGGTCACTGATAAAATAAATCATATAAAATAACAAAGATCATTTAAACTGACCATGTTATTGCAACACCATATCATCACTGTAAAGAAAAAAAAACTCACTTTGTTGGACAGCTTGAAAAAAGGCCTCCATTTTGGATTTGCTAATTCAGGCAGATTTGACAAATGCCTCAATGAGAAACATCACTCAGTTTGCTGCTTTTATGATTATCCGCTCTACTAAAACCAGAACCTTCTGTTTTGAGCCTCAGAACTCGACTTGGTGGGGAAACAGTTTACTTGGGACTCCTCAGAATGATAAAGCCCTCCGGATAGAGGGTGAAACGTCTTTCTAAAAAAAAGAAATTGTCCAGATGACCTGACTGAGCATTACTGGATTTGATACCTGGATGATGAGCATGAACTTTGACACCATCAGGTCGAACATGTCCCCACAACGACAGAAGGGAAGAAAAGAGATGTTAAAAATGTAAAACCAACTGTGATAAAACACTTTACACATCAAAGTGATTTTAGTAAGAAATATGCCAGAGAAAATTGCACTTTTAATATGTAACGCAAAAAAAACTATAGAATAGTTCTATAAGCAGCACTAACGTTCCTTATTACACAGTGGTGATGTTAGCCTCTCTTTGGAAGTGCTCAAGCACCCCTAAATTTTAACTCAACACTCCTGAAAATTTATGAAACCATCATTAGGATTTTGTAAAGAAGCTAAGTTCTCAAACCTTAGATTCACCAAAATATGGAGTAAATGATGACACAAACGGGCCAATAAAGTCTATGAGTTTAGTGCACGAGTCGGCTCCTCTGCGCCATATGCCAATCAATCCAGTACACTCAGCAGATCAATCTGCAATCAGCTGACCAATCGGCGATCTCAATTTGTTTAGAAGATAAACGTCCCTTACCTGCTTTTTTTTGGGGGGGGGGGGGGATTAGGATGTGTGAGAGAAGCAAAGCGTGTTCTATTCAAACAAGGAGAGCTGTTGGTCAGGTTACTCCTTGTTGTGTTGTGTTTATTTGTCATATGCAAGCTTACACAAGGTCAATAATGCAATGAAATGTTCAGGATGAGAAGAATCAATTCGACTCGCTTAAAAAAACAAACAAACAAACAAAAAAGAAATTGTAAAGCATGCAGTAAGAGTACAAAATAAAGTACTAAAAAGTGAAAAAGAAAGTGTGTTTACTTATGTAGGTAAATGTAGACATTAAAACAACCTGTTAAAAAAACACCAGAATGCGGGAAATGGCATCTAATTTATTCAAAATTTACTGGGGGAGGATCCCAGACCGCCCCACAAGCATGTCCCCCCACATTACAAATGATTCTGATGTCAATGGATACCACCTTGTTCAAGCCAAGAGCCATTGTCAACACTGAGGGCTGAGCACCTCTAAAGGTTATTACACCTCACTCAGGGTGTCACTGAGGGAAATGCAGGTTTGGTATAAAAAGTTAAAATGTATAATCGTGGTGTTTCGGTACATGCAGGGATCATTCCTGACAAGACATCAGTCTGATGGTGAGCCAAATGTTTTACTACAAACACCAAAGTCCATGCTCAATAATCCAATGACTGAACATTGTTTGGTTTTACTACAAAACTATAGAGGCCTAAGTGATAAAATAAAGCAACAGCACCCCCTGCTGGCTGCCTCTGTGTAAAACTCCTGCAGAGTCTCAGGTGGACCTGAAGATTCGGGTCTAACCAGTGAGTTAACTGTCAGGTGTGGAGCAGAGACTCAAACATACAATTCTGTCCTTCATCTTCAGACTATCAATCATAATCTGTGAAACGTGGTTACTACAGGCAAACAATGCAAACGAAATATTAGCAGACGAACACCAATCTCCATGCTCAATAATCCAGGTAATAATCCAACAATGTTCAGTCAGGTCATCTGGACATGTTCTTAATTTGCTGAGACGTTTCGTCCTTCATTGGGGTGTGCTATTTGTAGGAATCAGTTTGTTTGGTGGCTACTAAGATTGAAGAAGTTCTTTAGATGAAGGGCGATGTACTTTGTCTCTGAGATTTGAATAGAGTTGAGTGAGTGTTTTCTGGACAGGAGATAAACAAGGATGTTTCTGGAGCAACATGTTAAGTGGAGGTGAACTGTGGAGAAGAACTCTTTTTGTTTGTTGTCCCAGTGATGGATCCTGGGGAGCAGGGGGAACTTTTATCCACTATCAGGTGTAGTGGTGGAGCCAGGGGGTGGCAAATGGTGCCTTTGACCACCACTTTGTTCATCTTTAGCCACCCCAGTCATTTGAGGAAACTAAACTTTTAAGCAGTTTAAAAACTAGACAGTATAGTTTCATTAGTTTCATCAAATGATTGGGATGGTCAGTTTATATATATAATATATACACACACACATACATATACACAAACCGGATTCCAAAAAAGTTGGGACACTAAACAAATTGTGAATAAAAACTGAATGCAATGATGTGGAGGTGCCAACATCTAATATTTTATTCAGAATAGAACACAAATCACAGATCAAAAGTTTAAACTGAGAGAATGTATCATTTTAAGGGAAAAATCTGTTGTTTCCAAATTTCATGGCGTCAAC